AGTTATTTCAGGTGGGCGAAAAACGCTCAAAAACACACGTGTCATCATGTAGTGTTATTTTTGCCCGATCGTAACCGTAATTGGATTTGGTAGCACAAATTGGTAGCGGGCCGAAATCTCTCGAATTCCAGGAAAATCGCGGACCATCGGCAACCGAGATGTTTCATTCATGGGGAACGCTCGGCAGCGGGTCGGTCGCATCGTCGCTCGAATCTCGCGATTTGAATTGTAATCCAAGCGTCACAGAAATAGATTTTTCCGTGTTTTCCTTTTCGCGTGAATTCGCCGTAGATTGTAAAAAAATTACGCGGCGATGATAAAGGAGCCGGGGAAAAAGAGGGAAGGGAGGGATACTGCGACCGCGAACCTATCTCGCGCTTCGATCGACGCCTATATGCGGGGGAAAACTGGGAAGTCAGCCGAAAGAAACGGTACTCGGAGGATCACCGCGGATGAACGTTCCATCCCATAAGCTTGTCCTCCATCGGAACGTATAGCGTCTCGTACGGCGGGCTCGGCGTACGGACTGTGCACCGCTGGCTGCATCGTATGTCGCTCCTCTCTACCCCCGGGCCACCGGATATGTGCAGCACGAAGATGCGCCGCAGGATCACCGACTGACAGCTTCCTAATGGAACCCGTAAATACCGCACGGGGCACGTTATGTTTTCCAAATGAAATCCCGAAAATTTACTTCGGAAACTCATCCCATCGCCGCCGCCGCCGCTGCCATTTATTCTCGGGACGAGTTATTTCGTCTCTCTCTCTCTCCTCCTCACCCCCCTTTCTCTCTCTCTCTCTCTCTCTGTCTGATAATAATGCTAAATTGCAGGACAATTGCGTTATCGACCATTTCTATTATATTGAAACATCAATCGAAAGCATTCGCAATGGCGTTGCATCATTATGCGATTGATGAGCCGACGCATGATAATCCGATCTAAAGCAACGAAAAATCGTCTAAACGGGAACGGATAATTAGGCGAGCTCCGTATTGATTGATACAATATTCCAACTCGATGGAACGTCCACTTTAATTACACGAACGAACAATACGTCGACGATTAATATTCATATTGCGATATTGTAATATCGCGATACGTAATACCGTAATATGCGGATGTAATAATAGTTCGCTTAGCGTTATTTATGCGCGATTAATTAGCGCTGTGTAACCGTGAAAAGGAAACCGTCGCGCGTTATCAAAGATTCGGTGGAATTCGAGAGAGGACGGAGACACGCTACATATATATATAGCGCTATAGATATGTGTACGATAATTATAAACGCGTATAAAAATATTTTACATCGAGAGGAGAAAGAGAGAGAGAGAGAGAGAGAGAGAGAGAGAGAGAGAGAGAGAGAGAGAGAGAGAGAGAGAAAGACAATCGACGAGATGCCACGTAATGCACACGTATTCAGTTACATTATTACGGCACACACGTACATGTACACGTTCGACGATCGCCGTCCGAAGAGATGCGGGCTCGTATATAGGTAATCGATATCGAAGCCAGATAAAAATGATATTACGCGGCGCTGCGATTATGATACCCGCATCGCAGATCGAATCGGTCGCGGCGGTGGTCGTCCGCGCTCGACGCGACTCCGCCAGATATAGGATGCAGATTGCAAATACGATTAAGCGTTATTGCGTTTTCTGCTTTTCTCGGAATTACATTCTTTCAAATTTTATTACCCGCCGATATTATCGATTGGTCCGGGGCACACGGTCGCCTCTCTCTCTCTCTCTCTCTTTCTCTCTTGGCATGCGCACACGCGCACGCGAGTTAACACGTACGAGAGCGAGAGCAACCGACCGATTGAACGACATGCAATCATATCGTGCTCCGCGCCGTGTGATATTAATTTGCAAAAATTAACACTTTGCGAGAAAGCTCAAAAAATCAAACGGCAACGAAAAAGCCAACGAATTAGAGAACGGAGAGGAGGGTGTTTTAATCGTCCGATAAACCAATTTCCGCGAATAAATCTATCACTGAAAAATCGTACAAGACACTCAAGAATTATCTGCACCGCAGCATCGGTCTTTTTCGCTACTTCCCTTTGAGAGTGTGATTAATTTTTCGTTTAAAAAAGAAAAAAAAAAGAACTTTCGAATCGAGATCTTTTCACATTCATCCTCTCCGTTGTTTCGTAACCAATAGTACAGGCGATAGAAGCGCTTGTAGATTCGCGCCCGTTCGTGCCAGGGCAAAGTGGCTATTTTCCGGCCAGTGCTCACCGATTAAGAATCCGATCCCGGCCAAGGAGCAAGGGATAATCCAAACTCGAGAATCACGAATGAGCTTTCTCTCTGTGAGTTTAGCAAAATAGACGCTATGAAAGGAAATAAACTAACAGCGACGATAAATATTCCGATACTCACGTATTTGTGTATCGTTCTCAATTACCATTCGTCTACAATCAATCATTACGAAAGTACCATGAAATGGTTCCATTTCTTTTATGTATTTTCTCTCTTAAAATACTTCTTTCCCGAAAAGAGTCTAAGTCTCCTCCTTATTTATCGATCAACATAAACAAACCTGAATTATTTTATAAAAAACACACATATACAAGGGTAAAAGCAAAATCGAAGAACGGTAAAACGAGTGAACTAGCGAACGGCCGACGGTGGAAAAAGGGGGATGGCGGCCGTGAAGTAAATAGGAGTCGTGGTCGTTCTGCCGTAAAATTGTATGTGAAATTGTGCGATGTGTCTTGCGAATTGAATCGCCGGAAACGACATTGATTTTATTGCTTGTTTCCAGCGCTGTATACTTCATCCTACCCTCTTCTCCATCTTCCAACCTTCACCTACTCCCCCCTCTACCCTCCTCCGTCCTCCCCCTCGCCGCACTCTGAACCGCGACATGTTTCTCGCTGCCATCTCGACAACCCTTACTTCATTGGCTTTTCGCGCAAAGGATTCCGACGTATCGTTCGGCATGAAAAATGATCTTATTAAAAAAAAATTATAACCTACTAATTTAGATTCACCCTAATTTAGATTCACCCTCGAGATCGTTTCTATGATGTATTTTCGTATCGCGATAAGAAAAAAATCAGGAAAAATAAAGGTACTCTATTTAAAGGAATTCTTGAAAGAAAAAAAAAAGATATCGAAAACTGAACGGCGTTAAAACCACGCCGCTAATTTTTCCAATTGCATAAACTGCCGCTCGCTCAGAAGCAAATACGCGGACCATAATTTTCCTTCAATGATTTACCACGGGCTAATTGCAGAATGCAGCGAGCGGTAATATCGCTTTGCAGGGTTACGTCCGGGGGAAGGTAGCTATACTTTAGTTTGCAATTTAAACTTTACTTCCTCCGGAATTGATTAGCTTTTAGTAATTAAGCAAGCAACGCCTTGGACCCCCCGTCCCCTTCACGCCCGTTCCCCACGCCGCATTTGCCTCTCTCTCTCTCTCCCCCCCTCCTCCTCTCCCCTTTTCCTCTTCTCCCTCGTTCTATTTCGCGTCCTTCGTCTCCTCCTCCTCCTCCTCCTCCTGCTCTACCTCCACCACCGCACCTCCATCTCATTCCCTTCACCCTTCCTATCGCTATTTCCCTTTTCTCGTTCGAGTTCGGTCATACTATTCCATTTCGGCGAACGCGCCTGCGTCGATTCACGCGCGGATACGTACACTCGCGCACGCACACGCGCGCGTTGATTCTTCCATCCTATACATCCCTCCCTCCCCCGTGACCCGCGCGCGCGAGTCTCTCTCCCGACGTTACCCTCTCTTCGTAAGTGCCTTGTTTCGCCACTGATTCCTCATCCGGTCGGCTGTGCGCCCGTTTTCGATCTTATTGAGAGCTATCGAGAGAGCAGCTCGTGACTGATCTTATCGCGCGTTCATTTCTGTTTGTATTACTCGCATTTAACGATGGTAATAACACAACGAAGAATTTATTGGTCGCGAGGTATACGCGAAAAGTATAAATAAATACTTTTCAAGTCTGTTTAATTCTCAAATTAATCTTTATTTAAAGCTTCCAAATTTTTGGAAAATAGTTTCACAGCTTTTTTAACAAATAATATCCATTTCTTAGAAGAATAATATTTAAGATAGTTTAAAAATAAGCTCGTCGATAAATCTTAAATACCCAAATTCTGTATGACAGCTCGTTAATAAGTACATAAATACACGTGGCAGTAAACTGAGAACCACTGGCGACGCGATTTGAATTTCAATTTGTCGCCAAAATTTCACGAGTGTGCGGTAGACTTTTATCAGAATGCAGAAGCGTTTCGATATAATTTTCATGACGGGCAATAGGAAATACGGCACGTTATCGATCGAATGTCGAAAATGTAATTTGATGCAACGCATCTTGCTGCGAGCGTAAATTAATGCAAATTATGCGGAGTGTCTCGATTTTCGTGATCGCATCGCGAATCGACGAAACGCATTCCGTCGACGTCCATCCAATTATAAACCGATAATTTGACTTTTACATACGTTTGACGTAACATCGCACTAATGCGTCGATCGACTCGCATTTTTTTAATATTTAATTTTAATTTTTTTTTTCATATTCAATTGTAATTTGGAGACGGGAGACACGACTAAAAATGTTTATTAAAAACGCGCGAAAACGTGATTCTTGCGCAGCTTTAAAAGTCGCGCGCAAATTAATTTTCAAATCGAGGCAACTTGATGCAACTGCGAAAAAGCGAAAATACCTCGTAAATTTCACTCCTCCGATTATTCCGCCAATTTCGCTTCATTCGAAAACGCAATGATTTATCCCGATATATTATTCGCGCTAGCGATCGAATTACGCGTAAATAATCGTCATAACTGGGATCCATCATCATTCATCATCGTTTATCGCTCCCATTACACCGCTTACTATCATCCTTCTTTCCGCGAATTATATCGCGTTATTTCCTTCGCCTACCATCGCCCGATTATTTGCGATAGATCGATCTCTTGTGAACGAAAACACTTTACACTTGAAAATACACAATTCTTCAATTTACTCACCAATGCGAAGACGAAGAGGGTCGCCGGCCGATGATTCGCGCAGTGAAATCCTCGCGACAGGTAGTCGTCCACTGGGTGCAACGCGAGGTCGCGGTCCGTAGCACTCATATAAAGCACAAGCCCGTCGACAAGATATACGCGAGATTCGCGGGAGCAAAACGTTTCACACAAGAACAAGACTCCCCGATATTCCGGACTCACTCGTTCCGTGGGCCCGATGTGTCACGGGATCGATCCGGGTCGCACGCGAAGATTCGGCCGCGTCGGCCGCGCGCGCCAACACTTCGCGGGGCTCCGAATTTTTCCTCCCAAGTACCGTTCTCCGAAATGCCCGTCGTCCCGTGTCGTCCGCCGCTGCGTCAAGTCGTGCACTGAGGCAAGGCGTACCCCTCGTCACCCCCTCGCCGCGACCCGCGTTCAGCGACGCTGCGCGCAACCGCGCTGCCGGCGACGACTCGTTCCTCCGTCCGTCCGCGACGGCAGTCAGACGCGAAATGACGCGAAGCGAGGAGCCGCCGCGCCGCCGACGCTCGCCGCGAGCGCCCGACGCGGCGCGACCGTCGCGCCTGTCTGTCTCGCTCGCGCTCTCGCCTCCTCTCCCTCTCTCCTCCATCCGCAGGATGAACGGATTCTGCGTGTGTCGCGCGCGCGTCCTCTGCCGCAGTGATGCCAGACTGCCTACGCTAGCAGCGTACAACCGCGAGTGGAGGGGGTAACGGTCATATGGGCGATTCATATGTCCGTTACCCCCTCCATTCATGTTTGCGCGTTGCTCGCGTGGGCATTCTGTCATCGCTGCCTCGCGTCAGAGGAGATCGCGTCACGCGGTGGGGTGCGTGCGGCTGCGGGCCCCTCCACGCGTGGCGAAATCCGATCTCGTCGTGGGTCCGTTCCGCGTGAAATTCGTCGATCGCCTCAACTTCTCGTTGGATTCTTCTTTTTCACAGACGCGATGATGATTCGATCCGCATGCGAATCTTGCGAACGATGAAGGGTATCTCTCTTGCGCGTATTAATGATAATTGATGGTCTTGTAAACATTGGAAATGCGTGCTCGAAATATCATTATCGCGTTGGGAGGTTGAACGAAAAGTCGGGTAAACACGACGCAAACACCTCGTGTTGATGTTTTGTATCGCGAAGAGTTTACGATCGTTTACGATGCCAAAAATTACGACATGGAAATACTTGCACCGCCAGCTATCACGCCGCATATATTTACACTGCATATTGCTGCCGGAAGCGGTATCGAACAACAAACATCGCGTCGATGTAAACGCTCAATTAATATCAAGTAACGAATATCGGTTAAACAGTGATTTTGGCGTCGATCGGGTTTTATATAACGTAGCGCGTGGAAAGTTTAACAAAATATCGTTAATAATCACGCGCGCACGAGAGAGAGAGAGAGAAAGAAAGAGTGTATGCGTGTGCGTGTGTGTGTAGTGTGTATAATCGTCGCTTTTATCGGCCTCCACACTCGATAATGAATGCCCGAAAATTCCTCGGTCGATTCGCGCGCACTGACGTCGCCCTCGCGATAATAATTACTGCTAATGTAAATGTTCGTTAATGGACGTCATTAAATGCAACGCCGGCGGAATGGCCGCGGGGCGCCTGTGTAAGTCTGTACACACGCTCGCGGGGCTTTGCCAATTATATTAATTAAATAAACATTATAATCAGCTAATTAAATCTAGCGCACTCAACCTACCTATATACCCTACTCCACCCGTCCCCCGCGCATCTCTCATCTCCCTTCCTCACCCCCCTCCCCCGCGGGCGCGGACGCCTCTCCGTCATAGCATATCGTGAAATTCAATCGTGTCGAGCAAGATTTACTATCGGGAATCGCTCGCGCGCTTCTTGTCGGCATTTCGACGCATAATTGTCCGCCCCGATAAAAACGTTTAATTAAGTTTCACGAGGAAAAGTTTATGGATTTTTATCACGAATCATACGCGGAATATCTCGGAGAAAAAAATTGCGGAAATTGAGGAAATCGCGCGCATTCCGCCTCGTGTTTACTCCCCTAATTGAATGTCCTGGCCCCATAAGTATACGCGAATCCGAGCTCGAGGTGCGTGAGAGGCGATATTTGTTAAAATTTTCATTCGGCGACAATGCAACTTGCTTTTTGGTTTCGCCGTATTTACATATTTCTCGTATGCGTGCCTCGAGACGGTGTTATCTGACGAGGGATTTATATTAGACGTCGCCTTCGCGTGACATTTCACTGCGACTTCTTTCGAGCATCCAAGTGTCGCGAACGAGCTTGCGTATAACGAACAATCGATGTGTAATCTGAGTCTCATATTATATGTCCGAGCTTTTAATTAAAATTCAACTTTGGTAGAGAAGGATCGTTATATTATGAATATTATACATTTCTCGTCGCATATATCCGATTTACTGATTGATTTGTTTGCGGTGTCACTTAACATGCGTCAAACAAAACATATAATGCAGGTGCATATAATTACATGCGATTATAAAAGCCGGATTTATAAATTCTTACTTCCCATATGTTCTCATTTTTATCTTACTCAATTTATACTTTTGACGTTTTTATTCATATCTTATCCCTAACGTTTGATGCTTTTCGTCTCGTTCACAATTTGAACCGATAAACTTTATTATTGAAAAATAAAATAAGTAGCATTAAATTATCATCATTAGCATTACATTATGTCGTATTTAATTTATAAAGCTTTTTAAATCCAAGATTTAATAACAGCTGTTATGAAGGTTCTTTAATTTAAAAAACTTAATATTATAAATTAAATACAACGACATAATTTAAAATTAAATAATTCTCAGTGTTTCACATATTTTTTCCTGTTTGCGGTCTCATACTACGTCAATTAAATAAAAAGCAGTTGTCCTCGAATAACTAATTTTCAAATTGTTTTAAACATAGAAATAGAGATTATATAATTTTGATAAAAGTGTCTTTTAGATCAATCGTTTCGATCATAAGTCAATTTTACAAACATCACCGACAATTGCGATTTTTAAGACGTATATACATACGAGAAATATATGCTTACATCATGCTTGCACCCACACGAGGCTCTTCGGACCGGCCGGTTACATCGACCCTCGAAAAGCGGTTCGTGTCATTAGTATGTTAATTGGTAACAGCCAGGCTTGTGCTTCCCTCGCCCTTCCCCCGACTCTCGCCCCTGTTATGCCATGCCAGCCGACCAGGCTGCCTGCCACATCGCGTTGCGAATGCATATACGTCGTCCGGAGCCCACTGAGTTTGTACGTTAAGATGTTTAATCACTTCTGTAATTAAACTGTCCCTCAAAGGGTTAATTGTCCCATAAACCTATGAATACGTTAACGAGCGCGCTACACACCTCGCGCGCATCGCCAGCGGCCAAGGAGCCGCCACAGCTACGGGAAAACGGAATTTATAAAGCGCGAAAAGGAAGTGCGCACGTGGACCCTGTTAATGATCGAAGCCTCGACCGCATAAAGCGCCAAAAATCGTCACGAACCTCGGAATACAAATTACTTTTTAAAATAATTATCTTTTCGTCATCATTAAATCATTTGCGCTTTATATAATAAACAAATATAATAAAATTAATATAATAAAATATAATTAAATTAAATTAAAATAATAAAAATATAATAAAATATTATATAATGAAAAAAATGTTATCTTAAGTAATTGATTTTGCGGCACTAGCAACAATTATTTGTTTATTTTATAGCATTTTTTTCATCTTTTCTCCTTATCTTAATTCTTTTTTTTTTATATTGTAAATTTCTTTCGTTTCGTACAAGGAATTATTTTACGCGAAGCCGTGTGTCCTTAGGGGTTCGCGCGGATTCGCGTTTCAGAGGACGCGAAACAAGGGAATCCTCGCCGGCTCGGAAAGTAACGGCGAAGAGTGTTAATTTTCGAAATGAAAACGAGACATCCATCTTTAGCGGAACGCTTCAGCGCCTGGCCCATTCTCTCTCGCTCTCAATGCATTAGAGTAATGAATTAATTTCCATTGGAGTTCCACCTCTGTTCCCCCTTCCCTGTCTCCTCTGTCGCGCGCAACCCCCCTCGCGGCTGTTGGCGTCGACCCTCTACCGCCGCTACCGGCGTCTGTCTTCAGAGAGTGCTATATTCCGGATTTAAAATCTATTTTCCTAATTGTAATTGTGCTGCGGCTTCCCCGACTTTCCTTCTTCATTTTCATCTCTGTCTTCGCAAACGCGCGTCGGTTAACATCAACGTTTTCACATCCGACATGATACCAGCGAGATTTCAAGCATTTCGGTCTTTTCGATAATTACGTTTTTCATTAAAGGCATTTATACGTATTCACGCTTTATACATATTTTTTCGTAGAAGTAATTGGCGAATTAGCATGATCGCGATATTATCATTTCGGTACTCGAAGAGCAAAAACGTCAAATTTTCGCAAACAAATGCCTGAAAAATGGCACGAAGACCTATCTATCTATCTTCACCTTCTTTGCGTCTTTACTTTACGAGGGACGAGCGAGCGGCGTGACTGGTGGGTGAGCCGGACGGGGAGGGACGCGGGGAACGGGAGGCATCGAGCAAAGGGGGAACCAAGACTCCGGTCAATTAAGCGCAGGAAATTAGAGTTTTAATTACGCAGTCATTCAGAAAATTACATCGGGGGCCGTGAAGGAGGCATCCGCAATCGGCCAACGAGCGGCGGCGGGCGGCATTCTCTCTTCCTAGGCGTTCGATGATTTTTCGAGAGCGACGTCACGAGTGCGTGCTAAATTCACAAGACGCGTCCCGGCGAATCTGCCCTTACGACAAAAGTTTTAACGAGATCGTGCAACTTTTTGAAAGACGCGATTAAAAATGCCGGTACAATTAATCGATGGAGTTCGATAGCAAAAGCCAACGAGGGAACTTGAAATATAACGTGTATCTCGATTATATTTCCCATACTTTGTTTCCCTCTTTTCTCTTTCCTCTTATAAAAGTAATCAAAGATATTTTTTTAACGCAACATATTTATTTCTTGACGCGGAAAATACGACTAATAAGACAGGCAAGTTTACACGCGCCTCGGACGGAATGTAGGAATTACGTATAGAGATGTATCCACGGCGCGCAACCAGCGTTAAATACGGCTATTTGATTCCCGGACCATGATAACGTTGAATGCAATATTCATATCAGATGAATGAAACGCGGGATTCAGACGCATCGCAATTAGCGCAAAATGCGCGATTAAATAGCGACGCGGACCTAAGGCGCGTTGATTGAATGGCGTTAAATTAGTTAGGTTTTGTTTTAATTTGCTCCGACCCTTTGGATCGACGATGAATATCGAGAGGTCAACGGTGAAATCGAATATCTCGCCAACTAAATTTTCTTGCTCGCCTGCGCAAGAATCGAGCTTGCATGGCCGACGGCCAGTCGATACGCGCGATCGTGTCGATTGTTTGTCTGCCGGGTCGGGGATTATATTTTAATCAGTTTACCGATTG